CCTGCCTCAGCAATCAGCCTGCCTCAGCCTCAGCCTCAGCCTGCCTCAGCCTCAGCCTGCTTCAGCCTCAGCATCAGTCAGCCTTCAGCCTCGACCCCAGCCTCAGCCTGCATCAGCCTCAGCCTGCCTCTGCCTCAGCCTGCATCAGCCTCAGCCTCAGCCTCAGCCTGCCTCAGCATCAGCCTGCCTCAGCCTCAGCCTCAGCCTGCTCAGCCTCAGCCTCAGCCTGCTTCAGCCTCAGCCTCAGTCTGCCTTCAGCCTCGGATTCAGCCTCCGCCTGCCTCAGCCCCAGCCTGCATGAGCCTCAGCCTCAGCCTCAGCCTGCCTCAGCCTCAGCCTGCCTCAGCCTCAGCCTCTGCCTCAGCCTCAGCCTCAGCCTGCTTCAGCCTCAGCCTCAATCTGCCTTCAGCCTCGGCCTCAGCCTCAGCCTGCAGCAGCCTCAGCCTCAGCCTCAGCCTGCCTCAGCCTCAGCCTGCTTCAGCCTCAGCCTCAGTCAGCCTTCAGCCTCGGCTTCAGCCTCCGCCTGCCTCAGCCTGAGCCTGCCTCAGCCTCAGCCTCAGCCTCAGCCTGCCTCAGCATCAGCCTGCCTCAGCCTCAGCCTCAGCCTGCCTCAGCCTCAGCCTCAGCCTGCTTCAGCCTCAGCTTCAGTCTGCCTTCAGCCTCGGCGTCAGCCTCAGGCTGCCTCAGCCTCAGCCATGCCTCAGCCTGCCTCAAGACTCAGCCTCCAAGCATCAGCCTGCTTCAGCCTCAGCCTCAGCCTGGCTTCTAGCCTCGGCCTCAGCCTCAGCCTAGTCTGCCATCAGCCTAGCCCTCAGCCTCAGCGTCAGAACCCTGACCCAAACCCCCCCCCTCATCAATTCAAAATGTGGCCGGGAATGGAGTTTGGAACTCGAAGAACCCACGAGTGGCCTACAGTGGCTCCGGGCATTCAAATCATTACCAGGGAATGAGTTCTGGGAAACTTGAAGAGCACGAAGTGGCCTACAGATTGGCTCCGGGCATTCATCCAAAATGTGGCACTGGGAGGGGAGTTCTGGGAACTCGCAGAGCCACGAAGTGGCCTACAGTTGGCTCCCGGCATCCAAAATGTGGCCCGGGAATGGAGTTTTGGGACGTCGAAGAGCACGAAGTGGCCTACAGTTGGCTCCGGGCATCCAAAATGTGGCCCGGGAATGGAGTTCTGGGAAGTCGAAGAGCACGAAGTGGCCTACAGGTGGCTCCTGGCATTCAAAATGTGGCCCGGGGATGGAGTTCTGGGAGGTCGAAGAGCACCAAGTGTGTGACTGTTTGTTTAAAACAAGCCCGGCCCTGAGCCCGGCCCTCGCTGTCCGGATGCCGCCCAGACCTCCCTTCTGAGTCATCAGATGCTCTCTTTTGACACCACTAGAAACCTATCAGTCTTCGCTGTTAGGTAAAAATGCGCTGCCTCTCTCTCTCTCTCGCTCTCTCTCTGGGTGGCAGGGAGGGTAGCAATGAGCGAGTGCATTGTCTCTTCAAAACGGGGACCCAATTCCACATGGTGGTCTGGGGAAAAACTTCTGGGCTGTCGGAACATCTTTGGCCGTCGGGGACTCCTGGGGTTCTTTGACAGTTTTCTGGGAACCTCCCAGGGGGTTCTGCGAGAGGCTTCTTGGGGCCTCCAGGGAGTCGTCTTGGATCATTTCAGGCTACCTGGAGGTTTCTTGGGGGCTGCCTTTGGTCATATTTGGCCATCTTCGAATTCATTGAGGCATCCTCAGGGCGTCTTGGGGCCATCCTGGTGCCTGTTTCCCACTGGTCCGCGCTGTTGGGCCGCTCTCTGGTCATTTTGGGGCCCTCTCGCGCCCCTCCAGGGGAAGTTGGAGCCCTCTCAAGGCTCTTCTGAGGCAGTACTGTGTGGCTGCATCTGCAGATGTGTGCCTGCCCTTGTTCTGCCCTCTCGGAGTGTCTTGGGGATCCTCCCGACAGGTTTTCGTGGCCCTCTCGGGGCACATCTTGGGCAGCGTTGAGTCGGCGGCGCGCCCAGGGGGAAGTGAGAACGGACGGGCCTTCTCAGAAGGCTCGGATGTCCCCTGGGCCTCTGAGAAGTTTTCGAAGCCTTCCAAGAAGACACAGAAAATTTCTCAGAAGGCGCGAGGGCTTCTGATAAGTCCCGCCGCCTTCGGAGAAGGCCTTCTCCTTCTCATTTCCCCCCGTCGCTCGCCGCCGATTGAGGCCACCTTGGGCCGTCTGTGGGCTCTCTCTGGGGAGCTCCCGGGCAGCCTCTTTGGGCCGTCCTTGGCTGCCCGGTGACGTCCCGAGATCCCTGGGGCAGCCAAGAGCTGCCACAGGGGGCCCTTGAGTCTGGCAGAGCGAGACAAGCAGTACAACCCACAATCGGCGGCGACCGACGGGGGGAACTGCGAAGGAGAAGGCCTTTTTCAGAAGGTGGCGGGACTTCTCAGAAGCCCTCGCGCCTTTGAGAAGTTTTCTGTGTCTTCGGGGAAGGCTCAGAAAACTGCTCAGAAGTCCAGGTGACTTTCGAGCCTTCTGAGAAGGCCCGTCCCTTCCCACTTCCTCACCCTCGCTCGCCGCTGAAAAAAACGAGACAAAAGCACAGCCCACCACCCTACAGAGCCATGCAGGAGACATAGCCAGAGAGACTAAGAGAGAGGCAGGAAGCAGGACAAGATACGTGGAGGAAATGGTACCCGTACCGCTAACCTTGCCTCGTTCTCGCTTTTTGGGCCTGCTGGGAAGCCCTTGTCGCCACCGCTGGATTCGACTCGAAATTCTGTTCAGAACGCACCCAGGGAAAGGTCCGAGGAGTAGCGGTATCGGTACCATTTCGCCTCCTCAGAGAGAAGATATGAGGTGCCAGCAAGACATACGATCAGCCCAGCAGGGTGTTCTTTTGCCCGGTGCCCCCAGATGGGGCTGGTGGCCATCCCGGTCGATTTCGAGACCACCCATACCCGCGGCTATTCGTTTGTGAACCTTACCAGTGTAAGTCACGTGAAGTCTTTCGTAGAGACGTTCGAGGGCTTCTGTGACTGGCAGAGTGAGGCTTGCAAGAAGGAGTGCCAGGTGTGCTGGAGTGAAACACAGACCTTACAGTCTAACATCCTCCGCTACAAGGACAACTCCGTCATGGACCCATCGGTGCCAGATGATTATAAGCCGATCGTATTGAAGGATGGCGTGCGCATCCCTTTTCCGCAGTCCATCCGAGAGTACCGCGAGTTTGGCCAGAGATCTCGAACCAGGAAGGGCTGGCGAAGGACTACGAACATCGCATTCTCTGCCACAAGAGGCCGCCGCAAGTGAGCACAGTAGCCATCTCCATCCCGAACTTCCTTTCTCATTCTGCCTTATTCGCTTTCATTCTTTCCCGAGTGCCACAAATTTCCAAATGTGAGTTTAGCTGGCGCAGCGGGGGCAAGCCACTTACTCGACTGAGAAGGTGTCGTGCCTCCCTTGGCCACAGCTCTGCCACATGTTCTCAGCGATGTGGGAATCAGCCAGCGGCAACCGAATTTTTTCAGGAGCTAGAGCCAGGGGCTTGTCGTTGGTGCCGCTGACGGACATGATGGGAACCAGCCAGCGGCAACCGAATTTTTTGCGCTTGTCATTGGTGCTGCCAACGGACATGACGTTTGAATCCAGCTCGCCAGAGCTGGCGACCTGACGCCAATTAGCGATAGATGCACACCAGATCACACTGGATAAGTGCTGATCTGATCTGGGTTTCGCGTCAGTGTTTGCCTTTCACTTCAGGGTCAGCCCTTGCGCTTCATACTTTTCATGGGATGTTAGATCGCGTGCGATGCTTGATCGCGGCCCTAATCATACACCATAGTGTTTCGGAGCCCACGGCCTCACCTGGTGTCAAGTAGGCCTGGGCTGCTGTCCGCATCCGGTCGTCGGATGGCTCAGGCAAATCGCCGCCATTAGGGTTGGCTCGCTGGCGAGGTGTTAGCGAGGTTTTCCTCGCTCGATTAACACCTCCTTTGTGCACGCTTGCACCAGGAAGGGAAAACGAGAGCGCGCGCGTACCGATGTGTGCTACTCCTAGTGGCCTTGGGCGCCCTAGGGGACATCTCGGGGCCCTCTGGGGGGTCTCCATGGCGCCTTCTGGAGACGCCTTGCAGCCTCTTGGGAGCCTCCTGGGGGCCTCTCGGGCTTGAGGGGGTTCTCGGGGTCGTGTCGGGCTGGGACGGTCCTGGGCACCTGGCCGGGCGCACCCTGTCGGGCGAAGTGCCACCTCTGCGGCAGAGGACCCGAAGCAGCCTTCCAGACGGCCTCGCCGTCGAGCTCATCTTCCCTCCTGTCGCGGGCGCTGGTCACGCCAAGGCAGCGCGTGGTCTGTCGCGTCGGGTTCTGAGGGGAGGGTCCTCCGAGTTCCCGCGGATCCCTCCGCATCTCTTCAAAATCCTGAAGCAGTCCCTGCGGATTCCTAAGAAATCCGGTGAATTCCTAGGGATCCCGAAGGCTCCCCCAGGCATTTCCAAGGATTCCGAATTCCTACGGAACTTAGAGGATCTATGGGAATCGCAGGAATCCCTGAGGATTCCTGTAGGGATCCCTAAGGACCCCGCAGGATGTTCTCAGGATTCTTCAGGATTCCAATCAACTGCCAACGATCCCAAAGGATTCAGACAACATCCAACTAATTCAACTAGTTCATACCTATACGACCACCCTTCGGGTGATAAGGAGGTTCGGGGGGGGAGAAACCAACGTCTCACTCGATCGGTCTCACTATCGATCTCACTATCGATCTCAGTATCGGTCTCGCTCGATCGATCTCCCTCGATCGATCTCACAATCGATCTCACTCGATCTATCTCACAATTGATCTGACTATCGATTTCACAATCGATCTCACAATCGATCTCACAATCGATATCACATTCGGTCTCACTATCGATCTCACTATCGATATCACAACCGCTGTCACAATCGACGTCATCATCATCATCAACAACAACATCAACATCAACATCATCATCACCAACATCATCATAATCGGGACACCGTCCTCATCATCAACACCAACATCATCATCATCACGGTCATCAACATCATTGGGACACCACCTTCATCCTCATTATCATCACCATCATCACAATCATAATCAGCATCATCATCATCATCATCAACATCATCATCATCATCAGCAGCATCGGGACACAGTCATCGTCATCATCATCATCAGCAGCAGCATCATCATCGGGACACCATCATGATCACCATCGTTATTATCATTCTCATCATCATCATCATCATCAGCATCATCATCATCATCATCATCGGGACACCATCATCATCATCTCATCATCATCATCATCGACATCATCATCATCAGCATCATCAACATCATCATCAGCATCATCATTATCGTCATCATCGGGGCACCATCATCATCATGACCAACATCAGCATCAACATTTTCATCATCATCATCATCATCATCATCATCATCATCATCATCATCGGGTCGCCATCATCATCAACATCATCATCATCACCATCATAATAATCATCATCATCGGTACGCCATAATCATCATCAACCTCATCATCATCAAACTCATCATCATCGGGACACAATCATAATCAGCATCATCAACATCAACATCATCATACTCATCATCATCGGGACACCATCATCGTCATCATCATGATCATCAACATAATCATCAGGATCATCATCATCCTCATCATCGGGACACCATCAGCATCATCATCATCATCATCGTCATCATCATCATCAACATCATCATCATCATCATCATCATCATCATCATCATCATCATCATCATCATCATCGCATCATCATCAATCAATCATCATCACCATCATCATCATCATCACCATCATCACCATCATCATCATCATCATCATCATCATCATCATCATCATCATCAATCATCATCATCATCATCATCATCATCATCACCATCATCATCATGGTTACGGGACACCGACACCGCGGGACACACCGGCGGGACACCGCGCGCCACCGGCCGCCCGGAAGAGACACATTTGGTCCAGCCGCGCCTCAGCCACAGGGACACCGACGGGACACCAGCGGGACACCGGCGGGACACCGCGCGCCACCGGCCGCCCGGAAGAGACACATTTGGTCCGGCCGCGCCTCAGCCTGCAGGGACACCGACGGGACACCAGCGGGACACCGGCGGGACACCGCGCGCCACCGGCCGCCCGGAAGAGACACATTTGGTCCGGCCGCGCCTCAGCCACAGGAGACTTTCCTCTCGCCCGCCCACGCAGCTCCGCCTCCGCCGCGCGCACGGCACGCACGAACACGAAACCGAAATCGATTTCCCGGTAGGGGGGCTCTCCGTTCCAATTCGATCTCACCCCCTCACCTCCGATATATGATACCTGTACAATGGGGATCTCCATAAGGGGAGCCCGAGCTTTCATGTTGAGCTTTCCACCCCAAAATGGCCCGAATAGTTTCCCAGAGGCTCACGAGGTGCTCCCAGCAGGCCCCCAAGAGGGCCGAAGAGGCCCCAAACAGTCTTGCAGGATCCCCCCGAGGGGCATCCCAACAGATCCTGGCATCGACACAAGACGCCTCAGCGCCCACAGCTCGGGCACGGTGGCGGAGCCGGCCAAAGACCATACATAGTTGTGGCCCTCGCAAGAAGCTGCTGCTGCTGCTGCTGCTGCTGCTGCTGCTGCTGCTGCTCCTCCTCCTCCTCCTCCTCCTCCTCCTCCTCTTCCCCCCCACCCTCCGCCCCTGCGCCCGAGAGCGCCGCTGGCCACTGCCAGGAGAGCCGAGTTCAAGAAGTCGGGGCAAGAAGGTGTCTCATGTGGCAGCCGTCTTCGCTTCCCTCCTCCTTTTCCTCCTCCTCCTCCTTTTCCTCCTCGCTTTCCTCCTTCCTTTCCTCCTCCTTTTCCTCCTCGCTTTCCTTCTCCTTGTCCTCCTCCCCCGCATCACCGTGACCATCATCATCAGCATCATCATCACAATCGTCATCAGCAACGTCGGCATTGCCGTCATCAGCATCAGCGTCATCATCATCATCATCATCATCATCATCATCACCATCATCACCAGCATCTCCACACCCATCTCAAGCACCACGATCATCACCATCAACCCCATCGTCGTCACCGTTATCACCATCACCATCATCATCACCTACATCAGCATCTTCGTCATCGTCGTCGTCATCATCACAACCACCAACATCATCAGCATCATCATCATCACCAGCGTCATCCCCATCACCATCAACATATCATCCTTCGTCCCCCCCCCGCACTCTTCATCGATCCTCCTCCTCATCGACCCTTGCCCTCATGCCACGCTTCTTCGCATCCTCCTCCAGGCGTTAGCTGGGATGCGTCCTCAAAATAACCAAAGAGGCATCCAGCACGGCCCAGGACGGCCAAAGATGGCCACGGCCCCGAACGGTCGTAGCAGCTGCTAGCGAGCGCTTTAGAGGCTGCTTAGAAGCTTTTTTTTAAGCGGCTAAGGAGCGCCTAGAATGGGACACAGAAGCTCCCTGCATGTTGCCAGGGAGCGCCTCGCAAGCTGCTAGGGCACGCCAGTGAGCGCCTTGAGAGCTGCTAGGGGCGCCCTGAAAGCTGCCCAGGAACGGCAGAACAGCTGCTAAGGAGCGCCTGAACAGCTATAAAGAAACGCGCTGAAAGCTTCTAAGTTTTCGGTTCTATCAAAAAACGCTGTCAATGGCGCCTTAAACAGCTGCCACGGGGCGCCTTAGAAGCAGCTACCGGAGCATGAACAGTTCTAGGGGTTGCTTGAATGGCTGCGCAGGAACGTCCAACAAAGGCTGCCAAGAAGCGCCCTGAACGCTGCCAATAAGCGCCTTGAGAGCTATTACGGGGCGCCTCCAGTTGCTAAGAAGTAAGTTGCCAAGGAGCGCCCCCCGAACCTTGCAAGGAGCGCCGAACAGACGTTGCCAAGGAGCGCCACGACAAGCTGCCAAGGAGCGACATACCAGCGGCCGGGGGGGCGCCTTCAACGCTGCCAAGGAACGCCTTGAACTATGCCAAGGAGCGCCTTAAACACTGTTCGGCGCGCCGTAAAAAAGCTGCGCAGGAGCGGTGAGGAAGCTGCGAAGGATCGCCTTCGGATGTGCCAAGGAGCGCTTTACATTTTTCGACGGGCTGCCGTAACATATAAAGAAACGCGTACCAACCAAACAAGCAAACAAACAAACAGCGCCATAACAACAACCACAATAGGGCGGCGTGCAATCTGTTCAGGAACTTCTTCACAGCTGCTGAGGAGCGCCTTCAAAGCTGCTAAGGAGTGCGAGAAAGCTACCAACAAGCGCCTTAACATGTGCGAAGGAGCGCCCTAAGCAGCTGCCAAGGAGCGCCTTAAACGCTTCCACGGCACGCCTTCAAAGCTCCAGGGGAGCGCCTTAATAGCTGCAACGGGGCGCTTTCAAGAATTGCTAAGGAACACCTCGAAAGCTGCTGAGGAGCGCCGTAACAGCTGGTAAAGAGCGCCTCCAAACATTGCTCAGGAGCGCCTGACAAGCTGCTGGGGAGCGCCTTAAACGCTGCCAAGGAGCGGCGTAAATGCTGCAACGGAGAGCACCGAAATGTGCGAAGGAACGCTTTGAAAAGCAGCCAACGGAATGCCTCAAAAATCGCCGAGGGGCGCCTTACAAAGCTGCTAAGCAGCGCCTTCAAAGTTTCCAAAGAGCGCCCTGAACAATTGCTAAGGGGCGCTTTAAAACAAGTGCCAGGGAGCGCGTTGCAAAGCTGCCCAGGAGCGCCATAAGAGCTGGCAAGGAACGCGTGCGACATACGATACCACTTGGGAAGCACACGATTTTCAGAACCTACAACGTGGGAGTGGACCAGTTCACTGGGGAATGGACCAGTTTACTGAGGGAAGGATGTTTTCCAGTGGCGACCCCCACCGTTGTGGTGACCCCCCGAGGCTTCGCCACGCAGAAGTTGGGGCGGCCTTCGCAGAAGTTTCTGAACCCCCCTGGTGTTTTCCTGCCCCCATGGGTGCGCTCCAGCAGCTACGCCTCGCCGAGAGCTCTCTGGGATCGGCCGGGATCTTCCCGAACGGCCGCCAGAGGTTTCGAGTCACCACGTGAAGGCCGAGGTCAGGGCGAGGCGCAGGTTTGCCCATGTCCTCCGCCTAGGGGGTCGACCTTCGGGGACAGCAGGCGAGGCACACATGATCCAGGGTTCCGCCCCCTCCTTCCCACCATGCGGGGGGGATCGAGCCCCCCTCCCCCTGCTGGATGGGTACGCCCCAGAGCCTCGCGAAGGCCTCGCGATTAAGATCCGCCCACCCCCCCACCCCCCCGTGGTTGTGGCACTGCGGGCGCGGCGTGGTGGTGTGTGCCACTGCCCACTGCCCCACCCTCCCCCCCTTGTGGGTGTGGAGTGGGTCGTCGTCGTCGTCGTCGTCGTCGTCGTCGTCGTCGTCGTCGTCGTCGTCGTCGTCGTCGTCCGTCGTCCGTCGTCCGTCGTCCGTCGTCCGTCGTCGGTCGTCGTCGTCGTCGTCGTCGTCGTCGTCGTCGTCGTCGTCGTCGCCGTCGTCGTCGTCCGTCATCGTCGTCGTCGTCGTCGTCGTCGTCGTCGTCGTCGTCCCCTCCCTATCCCATCCGGGGAGGATGGCTGTGCAACCCTGGGGCTCATGTCATTTTCGGGGGGGGGGGGGGCGGAGCTCGTGAACTCTCGAACCGAGATCAAACATGTAGCACCCCGCAGGTGCGGATAAGAGTGCGGCGGCGGGCGCGGGGAGGGTCGCGGGTGGGTCTTGGGTGGGTCGCGGGTGGGTTGCGGGTGGGTCGCAGGCGGGTCGCAAGCGGGTCGCGGGTGGGCCTCGGGCCGGATCGCGAGTGGGACGACAACCAGAACAGTCAGCAGCGCGGCAGCCATCTCTTCCGTAGCCGGTTTCACTCAAGCCGAGATTGTCCCGGAGCTCGAGCCCGCGTTCCCCTCGAGTGCCCGACGCGCCGCAGAGCGCCCGAGAGCTGGGCGGCCGGGCGGCCATGCCGGCGAAGAAGTCGGCGTGGGGCTGGCCGGCGGGCCTGCCCGCCCACGTGGCCCCCGCGGGCTTCGACCCGCGCCTTGTGGCCGCGGGCGGCGACGGGGGCCAGGATCTGCAGTCGTCGCTCGCTGCCCCGCGCGGGGAAGAGGTCCCGTGGCCCGTGGGCCTGGCGCGGGTGGCCGGCTCGGAGGAGGACGCCACCAGCTCGGGGGACGCTCCTGCCTTCCGGCCGAGGACGAAGTGTCAGCGGCGCCGTCGCCAGCGAAAGCTCTCGAAGGCCATGGCACAGTCGACCACGACGAGGGGGGACGTGCCGTGTGAGTCGCTTGCCGCGCCGTCGGGGGGCTGCGACGATGGAGGCCTCGCAGGACCGACCACGACAGAGGTGTGGTCGTCTGCGGACGAAGAGCCATGCCCGTAGGGCACACGCGCGGAGGGTGCGAGGAGAAGCGGCGCTTGGGGGCAGGAGAGGAAGATCCGGAGGGCGGGATCTGGCAGGGGCTGAACGAAGGGACAGAGCGGCGCTTTCAGAGCAGAGCGCAGCCAGCGGTTCGAAGCCGCGGTTGCGCATGATGCACGAGTCTCCAGCGCCTGCCCACGGGCATTTTTAAACAGGTAGGCCCATGTGTTTAAAGCCAGTGCAGGCCGGCCCCGCGGCGAAGCGCAGGCGGGGGGGAGGGGTAGGGGCGGGGGGGGGGGGCGGGGAGGGGGAGGGGGGGGGCACACGGGCAGCCCTGGCCCCGAGGCTGCTCCGCGTTGACCTCCAGGCCCTCTGGCCGTGCCGCGTGCCGCCCGCGCCGCGCCGCGTGCCGCCGCACCTCGCGGCCCCGGGCCCCGCACCGCGCGGTCGCGAGGAGGAGCCGCCGCCGCGCGCGGGCTGCCGCGTGCCGGCCCGTGCCGAGCAGCCTGCGCACGGGCTGCGGGCTGCCGTTTCACACGTGGGGCGCTGCAGGGGGGGGGCCTCGCCCGGACTCCGGATCCGCCCTGCTTCGGGGCAACTCGTAAGTAGGGCCTGGAATTTCCGCCTTGCTTTTCAAGCCCCGCCGGTTCCAATTCCCGCCCCACTTTTCTGTTGCCGTTTCCGCCCTACTCCTGTGGATTCCCGCCTTATTTTGTGTTGGGTGCAGAAATTTCCGCCCTACTTTTTCGGCTTCTTATAGGTGGATTTCCGACGCAATTTGACGTTGGAAAAAAAGCCAAAGTAGGGCGGATCTGGAGTCAGGGCGCCGTCAAGGGGCTGCCGGAAGGAAGGCTGGCTGGACCGCCTCCGCCGGCGGAAGCCGGCGCAAGCTGAGATCGGCCTCCCAAGAGACGGCAGCCTTTTGTGGCTCGGGTTTGCGGAATCCGCCACGTGACAGGATGTCTGCACAAGGAGGATGTTGGTTACGAGAGTCTTGTTGAGAGCAGAGCGCGGCAATTAGACAGAGAGTCGCGGCTTACATTCTCCATGACCTTCAGTTCCAGGCGCATGCTCACGTGAAGATCTTGCCTGACAGCTCACGGCTACGATCTCGGTGAGGATGACTAAACTTTCAGCCGCAGCAGGCAGTTTCACGTGCCATCCTTTCCGTGTATAGCCTCGGAGAAGCCTATAACATTAAAAACCATCATGGTCTACCCGTACCCGCCATCGAGCCCAATCCGTTTGGGGAGGAGCACTGCTTGCTGTCAGCTTTCGCGCACGGCGGCGCGGCTGCAGGTTGCAATAACATAACATTCAAATGCCACGTTTCTCGTAAGTTACCCTGGTCTATCTCCCATGTAGCTGCCTCACCCCATGGGCGCATGGATCATGGCAAGCTCAACGCCACTTGTAACATAGGCGTCCACGAACCAGTGTGCCCTTGCGACGGCCCAGACTCTACCAGTGGCTAGCCTTGGAGGGGTGAACATTGGTGAGCCTGCCAGCGGGGTTCCTAAACAGTGCGGACGGGCTGACACTGTCTGTGCATTTTCTCGCGTTGTTCTCTTCTCTCTCTCTCTCTCTTTGCTGCTGGAGGGGAAGAATGAAACCAACCTTGTTCATCCATGGATTTACGTTTCCAGTTGCCTCGAGGCCTCGGCGGACTCCGCCTCAGACGCGCGGTCCAGTCGCGAACTCGTCCGCACCGAGGTGCAGCGCGTAGCGTGGTGGCCACCCCGCGCATACATGGTTGTCCACGTCCCGAGGGGCAGCCCGAGCGCCCCTGGGTCGTCGTCGCCGTCGTCGTCGTGGTTGTCGTCGTCGCCGCCGTCATCGCCGTGGCTGTCATCGTTGCCCGTCTTGGTCAGGGTCGTCTCGTTTCGAAGGGGCATCCCCGACGGGCGCAATGATGATCGCTCCTGGACATGCCGATGCAGTGCCAGAGGACTTGGATCCTCCCCGTTGCCCTACCCGGCTGCCTCCCCGACGGCCTTCCCGACCGCCCCCTCGATGCCGTCTTCAGGCCCCCTAGCAGACCCCAGAGAGCGCCTGGAGACCCCCCAGAAGGAGCCACGGCGGCCCATGAGGGTCCCAGTGGCCCATGGCAACCCAAATGACCCCCAAGAGGGTTACACCTACCGGGTAGGATTGGTCCTCTGGGCTCATCAAAGGATCCCGAAGCACCCAGAGATTGCCCCAGGCCAGCCCAAGCGAATCAATGATTGAGGAGCAGATGGAGGAGTGGAAGCTGTGGTGGCGGAGCAGGATGAAGAAGACAAACTGATTTGATACTGAGTGTGCCTGTGAGGCTTATGATAACGATGTGTCTGTTTGGAGAGGGAGAGAGAAAGAGAGACGGAGAGAGGCAGGGAGAAGATTTCGGAAGATAAGGATATAGATAGTGGTGATTCTGCTGATGATGGTGATGATGAGGAGAAGGAAAAGGCGGAAGACTAGGAAGAGGAAGAGGTGCTGCAGCAGCTGGAGGAGCCAGAAAAGAGGGATCGGCACGAGTTGGAAAGGGATGACAATCAAAGAGGGGAAGGAGGAGGATGAGGAGGAGGAGGAGGAGGAAGAGGAGGAATGGATTGATGTGACGGGGGAGGGCGAAGAGTCGGAAGAGCGCTGACGAGAACAAGAAGGAGGAGGATTGGAGGAGGAGGAGGATGAGAAGGCCAGGATGAGGCGGAGGACGACGATGAGGAGGGTGAGGGTGCAGCCATTGCATCTCTTTCTCTGGATGCAGGGCGGCACGCGACACCACAAGCCCACAGACGCACGCTGTTCACCCCCCCCCCCGCCTTTGGCCCCACCCCCTCAGAGGCCTCCTGGGCCCCTGTACCGCAGGCGTTCCAGGCAGCTTCAGGGGGCACGCCGATTTCTCATTCATTGTTTTGCCGCCCGGCGCGGGCCCTCGCACCCCGCCACAGAGGAGACCCGTGCCAAGACACACCCTGCTTGCCTCCAGGGTGCCCTGAGTTTCTTGGGTCTCGGTGCTTCTGCGATGGAAACCGTGACGTTCCCACACCAAAAGTCAATGGACGTCCTGGGGTCTCATGGTTGGGCTTCTTGTGGAAGTTTTCTTGTGATCTTGGCTGCGTTGGCGCCTGTTTCAAGCAGGTGGAGTCTCCCCCAAAGGACGCACGGTTGCAAACAGTCGCATTCAGCAGAGGTCCGGAGCCAGACCTCCCACTCACCCCAATGTCGAAACGCCGAATAAGAACACGTTCGCATGAGCGACAAGAGCGGCCCGACAAGGTCAAAGGACTGAAGCTTGCTAGAACCCAAGCGCGCAAAGCGCGCTCTTGGTTCTAGTATACAGTTATGTTCATACGCTGGCGACACGGCGCGCAGACGACACGGCGATGGTCGACCCGGAGCGTTTGCAGCACCTTGGGCTAATGCAAGGCATTGTTTTTGGAGCACGGTCGCCTTTCCCGCCTCGAGCCGAATGTCCACAGGACGGTGTCGGTGCCTTTTTTCAAGTACGACTTGGACGTGCTTCAGTCGCGCGTGGCTCGAGCCGTGCCGCTGTAGGCCGGCCGTCCCACCGCAGGAAAAGCGACGTCCCTACGGCTCGGTGGTTGCCACTCCGGTGCAATTTTGGCGCGACCGACGCGGCCGCGGTGGCGCTGACCGTTGGGCATTCCCAGCGGGCACTTCAGTGCGAGTCGGCGACTTGGGCGGGCGCGGTATCATGGCCACGCCAACAACGGCAAATGCGAGTATGGGAGTATCGATGACGGTAACGACGGTAGCAATGACGACGGCAAGGCCAGTGACGGTACCGATGATGATCGCGCCCTCCGGGCAACGATGACGCTCGCGTCGGCGATGAATGTTGTTGAGGGAGTCCGACATGCGCGCGCGGCCGACTCGCGCGAGTGGCCCGCGTGGTCGTATTTGACATGGGTCGTGCCCCCCCCCCCCCCGGCACGCGTAAAAGGGTATTCGACTGAGTTCGACATGCGGCGCGGGAGGCCCTCTTGGCTGAATGTGATGGACATTTTTTGGATTAGAAACAGCTTGTGCTCCTCTCAAGACTGCGTGCGCAGGCTGTTTTGCTGGAAACTAATTCCCCACATCCTGAGTGGGGTTCTTGTTTTCCCAGAACACCCTCTCCTTCCCACCCACCTCCCGCTCCATCTTCCATACAGCACAATATCATTCCTACCACTCACACACACACACCATACCATACCATAGTTCCTACCACACATACCATACCATACCATACCACACCATACGTACCATACCGTACCATACCATACCATGGCGTACCATAGCATACCATACCATATCACACCAATGCCACACCGTACCATACCATACCATACCTCCAGTACCATACCATACCATATCATACCATACCGTACCATACCATACCTACCATACCATTCCATACCACTCCATACCGAAAACCATACTACTTACATGGTTTCGTGCCCCTCCCACCCCTCCAGGGAGGCCCCGCCTGAGCGAGGAGGGTATCGGAAACCATACTATTTACATGGTTTCGTGCCCCTCCCACCCCTCCAGGGAGGCCCCGCCTGAGCGAGGAGGGTATCGGAAAACCATACTATTTACATGGTTTCGTGCCCCTCCCACCCCTCCAGGGAGGCCCCGCCTGAGCGAGGAGGGTATCGGGTTTCGTGCCCCTCCCACCCTCCACGGAGGCCCCGCCTGAGCGAGGAGGGTATCCGAAAACCATACTATTTACATGGTTTCGTGCCCCTCCCACCCCTCCAGGGAGGCCCCGCCTGAGCGAGGAGGGTATCGGAAAACCATACTATTTACATGGTTTCGTGCCCCTCCCACCCCTCCAGGGAGGCCCCGCCTGAGCGAGGAGGGTATCGGAATACCATACTATTTACATGGTTTCGTGCCCCTCCCACCCCTCCAGGGAGGCCCCGCCTGAGCGAGGAGGGTATCGGAAAACCATACTATTTACATGGTTTCGTGCCCCTCCCACCCCTCCAGGGAGGCCCCGCCTGAGCGAGGAGGGTATCGGAATACCA